AATAATTATAAAAAACAGTTACAACACAGTCAACACAGTGAAAAGCTAATCTTCTCTCTTAAAATAAAAACATTCTACTGCAGATGAATATTTTATAGTTTGCACTTCATAAAATTACCAGTTTTTAAACATTTAATTTTTTCAACTTATAACTTTACCTGTAATACAAATACGAACATTTCTGCAATAATTTACCACGATTGCATTCGACGATTGTCGGAGGTCGCTCCCAGTTCTAAGGATCTGATTCACGATTCAAAGCAGCAATTAATAACTGGCCTCGACCGGGCCCGGTTTAGTGGGAGTTTAAATTAACGTCAACATCTTGATATTTTAGTTTAGACTTTTGTAGCCCGTCTGAGTCACAACGGTTTTCATTGCCTCCAATTACCAGTCGGGAGACAAATCGAACTGAATGTTTACCGACCCATCGCACTCACATCCTCGGATCCAAACGAGTAGAAATTCTACGATCTTATCGCCCGTTGACGTTCTAAAGCAAATTAAACTCGTAACATAATTGACTTGTGGAATATTACTGTCGGTGGAAATTGTTATTGTTCTTATCTTCTAATGAAACAGACGTTATTTCCCGAGATGCATCGCATTCGATACAGGATATCAAACTAGTTATGTCTCTTGGAAGAATGTAATAGCTGTGGAAATTAGTAATTATTGAAATTACTGGGTTGTAAAAACTATGATCAACCTAATCCTTTAACAAGAGTGGTAGGATTTGTAATTTTATTGTAGCAATGTTTTCTGACTCACAATTGTGTTTTTTTGTTTTTTTCCTCAAGGAAAAGTATTCCTTCCGTAATTTATTTTTTGTAGCAAACTATCACTAAAATGGTTACTACCTAGTTCAAACATCACCGTTGTCATTGTTTAAATAGTTTCTAAACTTATTACTATTTCAGAATATTCTATGACAGAAACATTCCCATTTTCACCTACGAATATGAACTCACACTATACATAACACATTATAATATTCCTTTGTACAATCGTAATGGTGTTGCGGAGAACCACGTTGCGTGTAATCCGCCCTAGTTATACTTATTGTAGTGATCGAGTGACGTCACACCGGTCGAATTCGTCTGTCACAACTCTCGATGGGATTGTGTCCGAGAGAATAATTGCCTAGGTGCGTAGCCAAATGATTACAATACGATTTGGGTCGAGGTGCCATGAGAGGTTTGCAAGTAAAAATGTATAATGTCTAAAATTTTAGAAAGAAACCGGCGTGTTACTAACCTATTGAATAGCTTCTCTGGCTTTGGTACGAAAGTGACAATTTCGATTCCTGAATAATACCAAAAATATATGAGGGCTTTGTATAGCTTTCACAAAAGCGTTTATGATTCCTAGATACAAAGTGCCAATGGTGTACACTCTAGCAAGAAGAAGAAATACCAGTATGATTTTTAACTCCAACCACCCTCGTTGGAAACAAGACACCGCGATCATAAACGCGGCTAATTGTAGCTGGAAGTTTTGGAACGACCATCAGAAAAGTTTACAATGGTAAAAACTGTCGTTGCGTAGGGGCAAAATTAAATTAGAAAGACATCGAGCCCAATGCGAGGGGGAACATTACCGCATCAGGTGGCCCGAGTCAAGAACAATATCTTAAGCCGGGCAATAAAAGTGAAAGAAATTAGAATTATTCAAATACTCTAGGGCGAGCATGTGTCAGCGAGCGGCGTCTTTAGAAACATGGCGGCCATTACGGGAAAAATAAGAGATCCTCTGTAATGAGGAAATGCTTTTAGCGAAGACATAATGTTCTTTCTTGTAATAAGAGAATTATCGCGCGCGGTACACTGCCTTAATGGCTGCCGGGATTTATTGTTTGATGGAAAAGTAAAACGGAAGTTTGGAATCGGAGTCAGTTGGGAAAATCTTTGTGCTTATTTGAAACTCGAGTTAACTTTCATAGGGTACGAATTCCTCAGTTCTAGAAATGCTAGACAAATATTGGTTATAAAAACATATTAGAAATAAAATTCTTCAGATTTTTATAAAGAAAAATTTTCACTCGCAAATTCGTTCCCATATTTTTACTTACGTTCTAAGCTATGCCATTTTGGATATACCTGTAATTACGAAAAAAATTCCATATAGACATTTCACATACATTTCCCCCTGCCAGATTTTTTCACATTTTTTATAGAGACTCACAAAAAATTACGTTGATGAAATAATGTTTTTCCTCTAAATTAAAAACCCAAAAGATTTTTGTCATACAGTCTCCGTACCTACGATTCTTTTAGGTACCCTTTTTACTTAATTTCCTAACTTTGCTAGAATAAATTCAACCATCTGTTTATGAATACAAATTCACCATTGCTAGCGCCAGGTTTGGCTACGTCACAGCAGAAACAAGAAATCGTGGCCATCTCGTCTTTATTAACCGCGCGGGTTTTCACTCAGCCTGAGGTACGTTCAATAATCGATTCCACTTTACTTCTGTAGCGATTTATTCGCTGTGATAGTCTCTGGTTGGCTGGAGGTGTTGTGAGGCCTTGAAACCTAGTGAGGGCGATAATTTAATGTACTCGGAAATTTTATCCGTCTGGACATTAATGGTTTGGTTCAGGTTTTCGACATTTTGTTTGTCAAAAATGATATGCTTTAGACCTACCTGTTGATCTGTTATAGTTGTGTTGTCTCGATATTGAAATAACCAATTTTTAAGTGTTCGTTGGTTGAATTTGTAAATTTCGTACATTATTACAGATGGACAAGGTGAACGCTACATTTTAAACTATACATTTGCTAGCTGGCCCGACAATTTTAACTAAAAACTAACAATATTACTTTTTAAATAATTTTTACAGTTCAATATTTTGTTTTCTCACCAATAAAATAGATTATGCTTTATTTTTTTTAAGTCTCAGAAACCCCCATTACTTTTACTTTTCGGACGGAGGACACTATATCAAACATAAGATGGGGGCTTGTCCCTGCTACCCAAAAGCAAGAAGAAATATATATCTGCAGCCGTGAGATCAATTAGTCTTTGAAATATATGTCTTCCTTAGGGGATGACAACACTTACGATTGTGATAAGAAGACAATAGCCCGGACCGGAGATCTATTTCTATTCACTTCAATTTCTTATTGATTGATCTTAGTGGTTCGAAGCCCACTAGGCTGTCTGTCCTAGATCACTACCCACACCAATAAACCTACTTCCAAATAAGATTTTAATTAGTTTAAATAACAAAATCTTCCTAACCTAACTTAAGCTAACCTAACCTAACCACCCTTAGGTTAAGTTAGGTTAAGCTATAATTATTAGGTGTGGACAGTATAATACGTAAGTACCAAAAAGTCTTAAACGTAAAGAACCTTCTCTGTTGAAGCATCTGATCTAAAAACAAAGTTTCATGTATTTCCAGCCTATTCACTTCGTCTTAACACTCCGTTACATCTCGCGAGATCCCGCGGGAACCCGAACCTAATTTCCTCCCTAAGTCCGGTCGATCCATTATAAGTTCGGCCCCAATTTCGACCAGTCTTGCGACCGTTGTTTATTAATTACCGCAAGATACAAACTCCCCCAAGACCCCGGCCTAAACTACTTAGCCCCCATTGTCGGGTCTAATCGCTACCCTTTGTTTTATATCCGGACTGATGATGGATCGGAGAGGTAACTTCTGACTTGGCAAGTCGCAAGATGTATTAGACTGTTGATTCTCCCTTGCAACTGTTTGGATAATTAGATACGTCGTGTTGTAGATCCTTGGTTATTGGTTGGAGGAAAGCCAATGTGGCATTGAAGTTGGTGTTGCAGTTTTTAGGTAGTTACAAGGGACAATCAAGTGACGTATAGAACTTTTTAGATGGTAATGGAGGTGTAGATAAATCCAATAAAAGAAATATTTGTGATTGGGTGAGATGAGTTCGTTCAGATTTACAAGAAAGATTAACTCATCAACTTGTCCGGAGCGTTAATTGAATTAAAAATGAGGCCGGGTCCTAAAACGTTGGCTATCTTCTACGGGATTTTTCATGGTAAATTTAAAATTTCGATATTAGCGAAGAGCAAATGTTATAACAGATAAATACGGAGAAAATCTTGAACTAATACATTAGAGGCCGAAATACGAAGTTTTCCTTTTAGTTTGATTTAGTAATACTACAAACTTCATTGCTTTCTTACCATGTTTACCCATTACAAATTCAATTTAGTTGTATCCAGTAGGTTCTACGAAATTAATAAATTAATTACTCGCTGAAAATTTATGAACTTGCTTGAAATTAATAAATATAGGAAAACGAGCGAATCGTCAGACATTTAGACCCCATATTCACAGAGTATTACACAGATTACAGACTACTTTTAAATATTCTTCTCCTTACCATAATTGCATCAATAATCTGAAATTATTGTTTATCACCTCACGAATGTGTTTAATTGATTGCAAAGTCATGACAGCCTTGATAATCTTCAGTTCCTAATACGTATTTATTTCCATTGCCGTCATTATCTTCGCAGAAGTCCTTCAAAAGACGATTGATCCTTGTAATAATCCAAAGTGAACCCCTTTTAGGAAACATATGTTGTTTACCTTATCACTAAGCACTCGCTGTTATCAACGCACGGTAGTAGAAGCTGTCACTTTTGTCTTTATCGGGGTTATAACAGTCGACGTTATTGATTCTCCATATGTTTCATTTGAGGGCAATCGATTGGGAGATATGGCTATCGTTACATACGGCAAGTGTGTACACCTTTTTGAAACTTGATATACACTATCGTAATACTTCTTGTCGAATTCGGACTTTGCCTTTTGACTATAGGTTTTTTAATTGACTGTTGTACCGCAAAGGCAACAATTAATTGAGATTGAACTTATCATTCTATCCTCAAATTCCAAGACCATCACTATACTGACCTGCGATCGATGCCCAAAATCTCAATTGTACACTAGTAAACGTATTATTGCTATGTATGTATATTTTTTACTGATCATTGTGTCTTGTTTCAGGTTAAGAGAGGAGAGGGGGGACGCAGAAAGAGCGCTGGCCCTGGATCACAAAGTTCGAGATCTCAGTTTGCACAATGGTCAGTATTTTTACAAACAATACTACTTTTTACAAATGTTATAATATATTTGAAGAAGGTAGTTTTGTGAGAATAAAATTAAAAATATGTTATGACAGGTAACTTCTGTAATAGATATAATAAAATATTTGGTTTGTCAAGCAAAATTAAATTCAGTGTTTTCCGATTTGCAAAATCATTATTCTTATGGGGGTTTACTGTTATATCAAAGATAGGTGTCAACAACGTCTTACAAATTTGAAGTAAGCTTGAGTATGGCGTTTTGCTTTAAGTAACAGTTGTTACTGTTGTATGTTCCAAAACATCTCCATGCCAATAAATGACGATAAACGTTAGGAGTAAAAACCTCCACCTTTTTGAAAAAAATAACTAAGCAATCTTTATGTTTCAACCAACCAATTTCCCCCATTGAAGCAGATTCTGATTTCTCCATAGATCGTTCACTGTCCCGCCTGTCCCCAGGGTCGTCCAACGGCCACAGTCCGGTGTTGAACCTGAGCAAGTCAGGGGCAGACCAGAGTGGCAGCGAGGCGGGACACACGGGACTGGAGGATGACGAGGATGACGACAACGTGAGTGACGTCGACGACGAAGACGATAAGGACCAAGGTAGGAATAACTAGGAGCGCCTTCTGGGAAAACTTAGTGGATAAGACAACAATGCAATTGTGAAAACAGCTGATTTTGTAAACTGTAGTCTGTTTAAAAGCTATTTGACTTTGAATTCAGTACCTGAAGTAAAAATTCAACTAGGCCTACTATGATGAAGTCCAAAGCCTTTAGAGTAGCAAAGAACGTAGTAAAATGTAATAATAGAGTGTGCTTATGCCAAAGTCTGTTTTTGGGGCCTTCTGCCTATACTGTAAATTGTGTCACACACAGAGGTGGTAATATCTCGACTGTAACTCTCTTTCCGAAATGGTTTGCAGACAACCAATCTGTGGTACTAGGGTGAAAAGTCTAACGTTGCATTCACGTTCTTCAATCATTCACTTTGAAACCTTTTGCTCTCCTTCCTACGTCATACACCAACTCCTTCAGCCACCCACACCGGATACCATGTGCCAGGTTGTCGCGTTCCAACAGTCATCACTCCCATGCCAGTATGGGAACGGCTCTAATTACTCTAGTGAGCTATGGACACGCACACAGTGCTTTATGATTATTCCGATACTATGGGACAACGTTATGTATGGGCTTATTGCAAACGGCGTGCGTCGATGGTCTAACGGCACGACATATCCGTAATGTGATTGGAATCGCCAGCCGATACCTCCGACTGACATGCCAACTATCGGAATGTTTGTTTGTCGTCCGACCGGTTTAGAGAAAATCATATTTAATTAAACCCTCGCAACTCATTCATCTCCATTGCATCACAAACAATATCCGACTAATTACCCAGATTAATTAAATGCCGAAATTGGCACTCATTAATCGCTCACAATCTTTTGAATGGCTACTTTGGTCTAACAGGTCGTTTTCTGGCAGAAACTAATTTATACCGTCGACCAATTACGAAGAAGCGGATTTATTTGCTAATTGACGAAGCGGTTGTGCGTGGTTTGTGCTGCGATCGTAAAAGCTCTGTTGGTAACCGTAATGGGCTGCAATAACTTGCGGAAAATATTGCATTGCATACAGATGAGACTGTGCACCTGCATTCCGTCAGTGGCCTTAATGTTCTGTGGCAAATTATTGTTCGCGGGATCTTATAATGAGATAGGGGTTGACTTTGCAAAATCAATAAGTCGTAGAAGCCTATTGAACTGTCACCAAAGAATAAAAATAGTTATGACATTATCTATCTGAAAATTCTCACCACCTGAATTTCTGCAGCTTAAATCATCCTAAAATATCAAAGTTCTCTAATGTCCTCATTATAGAACTATAATTTCCTGATGTCTTGGCGTTCTAAATCGTGACCTCTTCTAGATCCACCAAGCCAAGTTAGCAAATCCAACAGACGAATTCGTCTAATTGACACAGCAGTGGTTTTCCTGGGGAACCGGTTTCCAAGCCATCATCTGCAGAGCGATTACATTCAACTGCTAAATAATAGTTTGCGAAATTCACGATCCCGCGGTGGTTTATTGGTGTCGAGCACGTGTAGATGGGTTCCTCCTCTTCCGCCGCGCCGCATCGTCCATTTATTGAGTGTAATTCCACGTTTCTAAGCCCCTTGATTCCTGCGGTAGTTCTAGAAATTGTTGTGCAATATTGTTAATTATTTGCCAAGAAAATCGCATTAGAAATTAAATAGGTTTACGCTAATTTAAACATTATGATTGGAACCTTAAGGAACATGCTCCTTACAACATTGTCTTAAATGAACGCTTTTTAAACATTTATTTGTACAAAACCCAATCTTTATTTGATTTTCCCACCATGTGTGTCTAAAAGTCCAATTTCCTCCAACAACTACTCTCCCACTCTCTTTCATTTATCTACATTTTCCGTACCTTTTCTCAAAACTCCACTATTTTCCAAATACCTTCACAGTATCAATGAACAAACCCTTAAACATAATTTATTGAAAGAACGGCACATCCACCAAGCTTATCGTGCACATTTCCTCACAGTTTGTAACCCTTTCTATTTTTACTCCTAGACCTAAGTGACGCTGCAGAAGCCGGCGTCGGCGGTGTCTCTCCTCACGCTCTCAACTACTCCACCCTCGGCGCCTCGACGCCTACCCAGGGCGGAGACCCGGCGCTCTCCAGCACAGAGACGCTCCTGAGGAACATCCAAGGTCTGCTCAAGGTGGCTGCGGACAACGCGAGGCAGCAGGAGCGGCAGATCAGCTACGAGAAAGGTAGGAGTTGCTGAAACAATACTCTTAAGCTGAGAAGGACAAAGTCATATGACTGCCCAGTGGAATCATCGCCCTCTAAAACCCCTCGAAAAAGAAGAACAATATTGAGCAAGTTATAGGAAGTTAAGCTAAGGATTGATGGTAATCCTAAAATATATTTTAATGTTCGTGATTGGTGATTCCCTCTCTTAAGTAGATAGGATTTAGGAACATTGTAAGATTGCCATGCTGTGGCACCTAAATCTCGTCACCGCTCGACAGTCAACACGGTGAAGCCACGGCCTCTTGTATCGCGGCGCCTCGGTCTTGTCGGGTCCGTGTACACCTCCTGATTTGCATAACCTCTTCTCGTCGCCCGGTTAATTGTAAATGTGCAGATAAGCGTGCGATATGTTGCTGCGTTATAAAATAAATTGACAATAACCCTAACTAACCGGTAAGTGCGCATTAGTAAATTGTGGCCGGCGACACGATCAAGTGGGTCGTGGCGGAGAATAAGAAGAAGAGGCGGCGATGCGATTCGGGATCAAGACGGCAGGAGCCGCACACGGCGATCGCAATCAGCGCGGCCCGGCGGGCACGAACGCAACTATCGCGATCAGAATACCAAATGACTGATAAGAGATAACAATGGCGAGCCGAACAAATCTATTATGGTAGCTTATATGTAACAAGACCTGTCCACCGATCCTATCGTGCGAGTGGCTTTATTAGTCGCCAGCGGTACAAGAAGCTGCGAAGATTCCGCGCCTACTTTGTTGCTGATAAAGGGAAAGCTGAAAAACACGGGGACGCGGAAAGGTCGCCCCCGGAAACATCACCCCCCTACGTCATATTGACGTCAGAGACCGGGGGGTGATGTTTCCGGCCGCGGACACTCAATTTCAGTTGCAGCATGCACTCGTCGATATGACGAGTTATATTTGAGTTTGCGCATTAATTAGATAATCATATTCACTTATCATATACAATTACCAGATTTTCTAATTAGAATTGATGTTAACCGGATACGTTAACCCCGATCGTTTTCAAAATGCACACCCCGGAAAGGTCCCCCCCTGCCATGATCTCCCCCGGTATACCTGCTGTAGGGCTTGGGCTCGTGACTCGAGCCAGCTATTGTTCACAAGGGTAGAGACTGTCCCATATTACCACCGCTCGACCGAACTCGCAAGAATGGGAAGGATTTGGTATTTTTACGCAAATGTTGTGGATATTAAGATAAATACAAATTAACACTTTGATATTGTGCTTTCTCTAGACATTTCCCCTTAATTTTATACATCAAATGATGTATAAATTACATATAGTTTTTTTCCGTCAACGTATAAAATGTATTTGAAACACGTGGAAATGAAATAAAATGTTTATAGTAATAATGACAATTAAGTAAGGAAACAACTCGTATTAATATGAGCATGCTTCAACCACTCAACATCATAATACAGTCAGTACACACTTGACAAACATATTTTCACATTTCCTAATTCTTAAATTGTAAACATTGAGCAATAAATGCTGTATATAATTTTTATACATTTAAATAATTATCTGGATTTTATGGTAAAATAAATGCATTGAGAATATTCCTGATTTGATATTGGTGAAGGACTCTTTCCCGTAAAAAGAATTTAGAAAGTAAATATTGGTTAGTTTCTTCGGCAATAAACAGGAAAAAGCTCACACTGTTTACGTTTGCGTTGACAGAGAAGCAAGCAACAGTGTCACATTCACTTTATTTCATGATTTCACACTGCTGATATTAAATAACTAAATTGACATTGAAGTAGTACAGTTATTCCATGAACGGTCGCCCATTGTTTTGAAAGTTACACATTTAAATCTACCTGTAATTCGTAGAATATTAATACGTATAACTTAAAGTTTGCAAGAGAACATAATCCTAAGTATAGTATCCACTATTCTCAGAGTATTGATTTATGGAATTCGTCTGTAATTTGCAGACTATTAATTCGTAGAGTACAACTGTATTTATAGCGGGAAGTATTTTTTTGTAAAATAGCTTAGACTTCCCCACTTCAGGTATCCCTCCCAAGAATACCTGAGCCAAATACGTTTGTTTAACATAGTCAAGGAAAAGTTTAGTTAGTTATTTACTAAAGTCAGTTTCATATTTTTACCATAATTCTTACATTAACATAATTCATAATTATCAGTGTTATCTAGCCTATGTACTTAATTAATTTGGAAGGGGTTAATTTGTGAACAGAACGCCTCATTGAGTTTTAAACAGATTTTGAAAATGTTAATGTAATTTGTAAAAAGTATACTCTGAAGTTGCACCAACAATAAAATCAGCTCAAAATATGGTAGGGGATTTTCCCCAGTGTTTTCTAGAGACTTGCTACACCGGTTCACATTTTTATAACCCTCGAAATTTTGGTATATCGATATAGACTACACACATTCTACAAACATGACATAACTTTCATGGCATAAACTTATAGGCCTACTTACACAGATTTGATTTCAGACAAATCTTGATTTTACCCAAGGGTAGAAGTATTAGAGATGTATAGTTCAAATCTACAGATTTCCTGAATACGAAGATCCGTTACGGTAGGAAAAAACAGCATTTAAAATTGAAACAGTATGCGGGCAAACACCGACGATCAATATTTAAGTAAACTACTTGTAACAGCAAAAAACGTCAATGACAGTTTGAAACCAGCTGTTAGTTAAAACAGCACTGAAACGACTTTAAATTATTAGCGTCGGCTGCTAGACTAAAAAAAATAAACTTAAAAAAATGAAATCATGGCATTGACATTCCCTTCCTTAGAAAATTATATTTATTTCAACACAAAAATCACGAAATCGCGAAATTGGTTGATTCAGAATCCTGAAATGAAAAAAAACTCTGTCACGTTTAAAAATATATAAATCACAATTAATTGCACACTCTAGTGGAAATCGAAGAAACCCACCCATATGAATTCTTGCTTATCCGTTTACTTTTCCACTCTTTGCGTTTTTGTACATGCCAAGTCAAGTCTTAAAACATTACATTTAAAACAATTGTATTAAATCTTCCATAAATTACAAGAAACAGTGACTCATCCATTTTCCCCGATTCCGAATATGTGTGCGCAATCTTGGCGACTTATGTTCAGTCTCCAGCATTTTGGAGGTGTTCGCAATTCAGACACACCCGTTCCCATAGTCCGATTATGCTGATTGACGAACTCGTTCTAATAAACTTAGGCTTACACGTTTGTAACAAATCTCATCAAACTCGCAGCGTTGTTGCCCGAGTTACCGCGCTCACGGTCACATACGGGGTGTATTTATAAAGTCCCGCATGGGCTTAATATTTTCAAAACGGCAATAGATAAAACAATAAGATTTGGTACATAAACACCACACCTAAAAACAACGTTTTAAAGACTGTCAGTTTTCTGTCATGTAATGGGGACATCCCGCAAGGAGTCGGAAGGAAATCTTAAATAAGAGCATAGGTTGATATTTACAGATAACCGTAGGCATATTCTACAACTTAGTAAAACGTTATTTTTTGTATTAAAGCCATTTTTCATTTAGGACACAAATGATTTTTCTTTTTGCTTTCTTTATTTGTTGTGCTCTTGGTCTTTAATGTTTACCAGGTTTTTAATGATTTATTTGTTGCCAAAATCAATTTAAGAAAATATATTTAATTATTTACTTACATTATTTTTTACGTAGTTAAAATGACTAAGTATTTGATTTGATAATTTGAAATATTATCAACATATTTTTCAACCTTTTCCCATATAAGAAGGTGTCCAAACACTACCAAATAGGTAAAGGTACTACAGTAGCAAAATGTGTATTTATAAAAAGAAATAAAAATAAGAATAAGAAACGAAACACACAAATTTAAAGTGCGTAACACAAAAAATTTATCTTTATGCTTTTTTCTTCTTTTTGTGCTCTTGATTTTGGTATATTTTATTGTTTTAAATTATATTGTAATTGAAGTTTGTACCGGTACTGTATAAATTCCTTGACACTTTGTAGAATATTAAATTGTTATTCAGTTATATTTTTGTATTTTCTTTCCATAATTAAAATGTATAGGCCTAATAGAAGATTTAGTACTCATTGTGTGTATTTATTTCTCAATTTAAGTACCTGTCTTCCAAACTTTGTTACAAAATCCTAAATTTGTGTTAGCGAATTTCCCCTATAGGGAATAAGCTATTACTGTAGTACTCATGGTAAGACCTGGACCCGGGACCGATTTTTTTTTCGTATTGAGGTCCCTAGATGCCAAAAACACCATCCAGGCAAGTGGAAATTCGTTTAGTCTGCAGGTTTGCTGTGCCGGGGGTATTTTTAATTATAATTGGCACTTTGTGATACATTAATTGGAGTATATACGAATGTTACTATCGTTTAAGCGATGTAATACAAGTTTACAGCTCAACATTTCAAATTTTGATTACATATTAAAAATTTGAACTCACGTATATTTTCCCCTTAGTAATTATGAAACATAATTTTGCAAACTTCAGTAGCAAAAAGGTTTTCTAAACATATACATCTTATAACAAAACTAATTTATTGGTATATCAACACTGATTGCAAGTCCTCTTCTCGATTTAAAGTGATTCTGATATTTTGATTATACTTTCATTATATTTTGACTCTATTCCAGTGATATGAAACTAGCCTAGGCTGTTTCTGAATTAAGATACTTTTTGGCATAACCTTTAGAATAGTATAATTTACATATTTGTAATTACTAACAATTAATTATTTCGATAAGTTTAAGGGATTAATTCCCTAAAAGATATTATTATATTTATTCTTATTTAATAATCTGTTTCTAATTTTCAAATTATTAATTAAATCGGGGCCAAACCTAAAGCAATGCGATTCATTTTTAATACATTTAGAAATTATTATATTTTTAACAAATGTGTTGCTTAACAATTACCATAGGGTGTAAGGTAAGTTTACTGATGTTGATAAGTATAACTACCATTAAATGCAAC